ATAATTTAAAAGAAATTTACATATCGAGATAAACCTTTATGAGTAACTCAAGTGTTTTCTTGATTAGAAACTTTCTTTAAGATCTAACTTCTTTGTTTGGTAATTATAATCACATATTTTCACTTTCTTTTTCATATATCAAGAAACACCATAGTATTTTAATGATTATAATCATGACTCCTTATTTCAAATTTTGAAACTACCCATTCTTTAAATGACATTCTTTATTAGCACTATTCTTAAATCTATAAACCCTCACTAGTGGAAAATTAACATATTACTTCACCTTTTTTACGTCAAAAATACAAAAATTCGACGTAAAAAAAAATGCGGTGGCATTTTTGTAATTTTCGCGAACTTTTTTACGTCGGACCTGGTAGGGTCTGACGTAAAAAGTCAAATCTACGTCGGAGGTATGTTGTGTCCGACGTAGATTTGACATTTTACGTCGGACCCTACCAGGTCCGACGTAAAAAAGGACGCAAATTTGAATAAGAGAGCGCGAGGCACACCGCGCGCATTCACTCTTCATCACTTTTCGTTTGTATCTCTGTAAACCCTCTCCCTCTCCCTTGTTACTGAATCATTTTTTTGTCTTTTGCAGAGGGATGAACTCTTTGTTACTCATTCGTTCATTATTGTTGCTCCTCAGGTATGAATCAAGGTTTCGTTAACACTTTTCTACTTCGCATTGCTACTGTGGCTATCTGTTTTATTCAATTTTTTGGTTGTTCTATTTGTATAGGTAGTTGGCATTTTCTTTTGGGTTGTTCTACGAAGCAGAACTGCCTATTCTGCTTTCAGAACGGCCCGTTCTGCAAGAAGAACGGCCTGTTCTCCAAGCAGAACGGGCCGTTCTGCTTGCATTCTTATGTTTTTTTTTTGTTTTTTTTACTACTTTTTTACGTCGGATTTCGTAATGTCTGATGTAAATTTACGTCGGTTTTAAAGGTCTGACATAAATTTACGTCTCCCGCTTTTACGTCGCTATTTTTTCTAACGTAAAAAGCTCAAAATATCCGACGTAGAATACCTCTTTTGTACTAGTGCCTTTCTCTCTTTTTATCCTCTTCTCCACAAAATTTTAACTTCTCACTTCTTGTTTTCAAAATAAAACAATATATTGCTATCATGGGTTTATTATGAAAATACGTTTCATTAGAAAACATTAAAATAAAATGATGTTTTTTATTCGCAATGTAAAAGGATTCACATGTCTCCTGGATAAAAACTTTTTAATTACTAACAAAAGCATAAGACGGAAATATCCTTTGAATAAGTAGCACTACACCAATCTACTAGGATAACAAAACCATGTCCTCGGAATAAAAATAAAAATAGTAAGTCACGTAAGCATCCAATCTTTTCCTTCCAACTAACCTTTGATATGTAGAAAAATGGGCAATGTTATTCAGTAGAAAAATAACATTAAAAAATCCATCATAAAGAAAGAGACCATTTTTTCAAAACTGAGAATAATGGAAAATTAAAAATATATCAAATGAAGCTTTATATTTTATCTATTTGTAATAACTTAGCACCAATGGTAAAGAAAAAATAATAATTTGAAAATTGTTGTAAAGTAGTGTGAAATATTTTATTTGTAGTGGCTTTTCAAGAATATCATTCTTTTTAGGTCTGTATTGAATGAGTGAATTACATAGGCCAATTCACTGAAAAATATATGAATCAATTTCGTCAAATCTAACATACACCAATCTACTAGGATAACATAATCATGTCCTCGGAATCAAACTATATTGCCTTTAAAGTAATAAAGTCCTAGTCTAGTTTTTTTGTAAAATGTACCTTATATATCTTTAAAGAGGAAGGTTAAAAGTGAGATTGATCGTCCTCTAGAGTTATATGTTAGTATTACTATGTACAAGTAATTTTAGGTTAAGAATTTTTAAAGTTATTGAAATCAAAACATAATTTAAAAGAAATTTACATATCGAGATAAACCTTTATGAGTAACTGAAGCGTTTTCTTAATTAGAAACTTTCTTTAAGATCTAACTTCTTTGTTTCGTCATTATAATCATATATTTTCCCTTTCTTTTTCATACATCCAGAAACACCATTATATTTTAATGATTGTAATTATGACTCCTTATTTCGAATTTCAAAATGGTCCATTCTCCTTAACTAGATAAAACCTTTTTAATTACTAACAATAGAATAAGATGGAAATAAGTTCACAATCATTGTCACAAAAAAAAAAGTGTTATAAATCCCCAAATAAAATAGAACGTAAAGAAATAAGCTCTGTGTCTAAAAGTTGATTCTCAAAATGCCATAAATAAAGGAACAACTATTTAGCCCTAGTGTCACACTAATCAAACCAATAAGACCCATAAAAGTAAAATCGATCGATGCCTTAAGATTCATCTCCCTCAAGCTTAACCTCATCTATCTGATCAGTTCTTGTATGGTGTTGACCCTAAATAAGAAAAGTTACAACAACATGCAACACAAGAGGAGTGAGTGTACATCTCACACACGAATAAGCACATGTGAAGAATAAGATATAGTATCTAAGTACAATATGCAATATCATTCATGCAAACTCAAGCATAAAAATAATCATTCTCATTCAATACACCAACCATTAACACCCACTGACATTTTTCAAGGACTTGTGCATATTCATTCATGCACGTGGTACCAATCTCCAAAATCATTAAAGGCGCTTAAAATATAATGTAGCTTAGGAGCATATGGATAAGATCGGCCCTCTTCAACAGACCTTTTCAAACCAATCTTTGTAACACCATGTTTTTCAAAAAATACTATTATTATATAGTATTTAATCAGAATTATTTTTATTATTATAGGGGAATATTATTTTATACAATTTAAATAGTTATTTTGTACGTATTAAATAAGTATTTTTATTAGCATTTTAAATAATTATTTATATATTTTATAGGATAATTTACGAGTCGATATGAAATACAACCCCCTATATTTTTATAATTAAATTAATTATATATTTTATTATAAAATTTAAAAGGTTGATTTCATAGGATATTTTGATATCAAAATTATAATATTATATTTTAGGTCAGAAATATTTTATTATTATTGGGGAAAAAGTATTTTTTATTATATTTATTTATTTATTTGATTATTTGGGGGAAAAAGAGTAGCGGGTCAGGAAGTGAAATGAATTAGGTTGACCTGACTCGAGGGAATGTTAAGAAGGGGTTAGCAAATTAACCCTTATTTTGGGGGGTTTTCAATTGGTATTTTAAAGGCATGAGAAAGGAGGAAAGGAAAAACAAGAACTCTATGGAGAAGTGCTCAAAACAATGCTTAGAAATGATTCACATTGATTAAAACTAGTCGAATTTACACAACGAGGTACGGGAAAAAATGGGATCCTCATATGCATAGTCATACGAGAGAATGGATAGAGGAAGAGTTTCCTAAGATTCTTAGAAATTTTTTTAATTATTTCTATTTGCATGTTTAATAATTCTATAATGACTTATGTGTGAATTTGTACGGGTATTTCTTATGTTAATTCCTGTAATTTATGTTCTGGATGATGGATTGGATTGATTGAAATGTGCCTGTGAGTTAGGGTTCATGAGGGATTGAGGATTCTGGAATTGATGCATGTTTCTATGAAATTGATGTGTTTTCAAGTAATTATGATGAGTTCTAACTGATTAGAATATGAAAATAGTGTTGTTTGATGATTGATGAATTATGAGATGTCTGTTTGCATTTTTAGAATTGTAGAAAGTCGCATTGACACCAAGCTTAGTTCCTCGCACCGAGCGCACCTTCATGAAGATGAAGGTGGAACTTAGAAGGTTACACTAGGCAAAAATGTAATTTCGCTAGGTGTGATCCCTTGGAGTAGCCTTTCACCAGGCGAAATTATAATTTTGCCAAGTGTAATTCCTTAAGGTGGTCTCTACCAAGCCTTAGCACTGGGAAAAATTTCTCAATGCTAGGCATGGGCGAGAAGAGGAGCTCTCGGGTTGAGCTTGGCATCGGGTGAAATTGTAATTTCGCTAGGTGAGTCATAAGTGGAATTTTAATTAGATGAAGTGTGCATGCTGGATGACCTATGTGTTGCTATATGTGTGTGTGTGTGTATATATATATATATATATATATTTATTCTTTTAAAATTAAATTAAATTACTATAATATCTTTTATACAAATTAACCAAATTAAAAGAAATGATTAGTTTTCTTGTCCTAAAATTTTTGGTGTAGGTTGCTAACATACTCCAACTAAAAAATAGGTAAAAGTATGTTAACAATCCCCTATATATATACATATATAGTGGTGTGTGCTAAAATGGAATGGATCTAAATGTGAAATATAAATTAAGATTAATGAGAATGTTGTGTATGATGCCTCGGCACGGGCGTGTGCCTGACACGGTGCTCGATGTGTGATGCATCGACACGGGTGTGTGCGTGACATCACTACTACAAAAACACTATTTAACATCGCCATATTTACATCAGTTCTAATAGAACTGATGTAAATCATAAACGCGGTGGAAAACTTGTAAATAAATAGAAAATACAAACATATTTACATCGGTTTTTCTTATGACCGATGTAGAAATGAAATTCGGGAGTTGTTCTACATCGGTTTTGCTTATGACCAATGTAGAAATGAGACCCTGATTTTTTCGTTTCACTCATCAGCAACCTCCTCCCCCTCTCTTCAAATCCCCAAACCCTCTTCCTCTTCGATTCCATCGCCACCTGCCCTTCCTCCTCCTTTGACCCCCGCTTCCGCAACTCCCTCCTCCACTCCTACGCCGCCGTCGCCGCCTCCCCCTCCGACTCCCTCGCCTTCCTCCGCCACATCACCCAAACCCTCATTTCCTTCTCCCCCGACCGCTCTACCTTCCACATACTCCTCTCCCACCAATCCCACCCAATCCCTCTCCCCCATCCACCAAACCCTAAACCTCATGCTCTCCTCCGGCCTCGCCCTCGACGCTGCCACCGCCGACATCGCCTAATAGGTCTGCGATGGACTTTGATTACGCTCACTACATGCTGACGGAGGGTAACAAGAAGGGAAAGGAGAAAGAGAACCCCGAGGTGACGTCACCGTCGCGAGAAGCCTACTTGAAGCAACTTGCTAAGGCTTTCAACATGAACAGAACTCGAATCTTGGCCTTCAAGAACAAACCCCCGAATCCGGTTGAACTCATTCCCAACTCCATCCTTTCGCCTCCTCCTCCTTCCAAATCCTCTAAGCCCAGGCGTTACATTTCTCAAGTATGTTAATTAAATTTGGAATTCGAAATTGTGTTTATTTGTCAGATGCTATGAAAGTTGAAATTGTGTTCTTACTGTTTGTGGAAATGGTTGTTAGAGTTCTGAGAGGGCTTTGGATGCTCCTAATATACTAGATGACTTTTACTTGAACCTGTTGGACTGGGGAAGCAGAAATGTGCTCAGTATTGCCCTTGGAAACACCCTGTATCTATGGAATGCCGTTGATTGCTCGACGGCAGAACTTGTTACCGTGGATGAGGAAGATAGTCCCGTTACTAGCGTTTCCTGGGCTCCTAATGGGCGCGATTTAGCCATTGGTTTGAAAAATTCTCATGTCCAGCTCTGGGATGCTGATGCTTTTAGGATGGTAAATGTTTTACTTTTTTTAAATTTATCCATTTTGGGGGTGAATTTTGAATGGTTGACTGTGTAGATCTTTATTTGTTGATTACATTGATGTTGTATCGAAATTGAACTCTGTTTTGTGTTTTTGTGAAATTGGAATGTTCTTTGTATGCAATCTGATGTTGTGATTTGATTTGGTGACTGCAGCTAAGGACACTAAGAGGTGGGCACCAAGCGAGAGTGGGTTCACTGTGTTGGAACAATCATATCCTCACCACTGGAGGGATGGACGGTAGGATTGTTAATAATAATGTTAGAGTGAGGTCTCATATTGTTGAATCTTATAGGGGGTATCAGCAGGAGGTCTTAATTAGAGTGGAAGGAACTTAGGTCATTCAAATATGTAATCTTAGATTTCATGCTTAGATTCATGTATATATATAAAAAAACACTATTAATTAAAAAGTCTTCTATATAAAGTCTAACATAATATAAAACAAGTAGTTTTTTTTCTTTATGTATAATATATATAGTATTATATATGAAGAAGAATGAACTTTGATTTATTTTCCCGAGTTTTAGCCTTTAATTTGGTGTAGCAGAGTCAACAGTGTTGTTATATGTTCATGATTCAATAATAATGGATAGATATGGTAACAAGTATCTAGCCTCCTCTTTTTAAAGACACGTGTAACCTAAAATTAGGTATAATAATATAATAATAAAGTTTTCATTACTAAGTAAACAAATTTATCTGAGACATGCATGACATGGTCATAGAGCAATGCCCCTAAGGAGCAACAAGTCAAAACCACTCATTCACTATAGTTCCAAAAACAACAAGGAATACGTGACTCTCAACAAATTTTAACCAAATTCAAAGGTAAACGATGCAAAAGGTGATGCTGGATTCATGCATTGATTTGTGATGATTTTATCTGAATTATTGGTTGTTCAATGAATCTCCTTAAATACATGGTTATATACATTTTGTTTTATTGTTTTTCGTAGGTATAGTTTTATAACTTTAAATATATTAATGGTTCTATTGCAAAGTCAGATTAAGAATTTTTTTTGTATTAGTTCTGGAACGCCCATACATGGGCTTGCTTGAACTCTGTTGAAACAGGCTCGCAGGTGTGCGCTTTGCTGTTGAACAAGAATGAGCGTGAGTTGCTTAGCTCGCATGGTTTCACCCACAACCAGCTCTCTCTTTGATCTTTGACTTTGTTTTTGTGCTTCTAAGTTGTTGTTGTTTGTTGTTGCCCTTGACACACATTTTGTGATCATCAAAACTCCTTTCAGCTTCAAGCTCCTCCAAGCTCAACAATCTCCCCCTTTTTGATGATGACAACCAATCTAGGCTCCAACCATTTTTGCTTCTAATTTCAACATACCAAACCTGCAAAAACATACACACACAAGCACAATACCTGCAAAAACAACAACCATACACACAACAACAACCTTTCTCCCCCTTTGGCATTATCAAAAACAAACCAAGCTATGTTTTACAATATAAGCCATATGCACATTCCTCAAGTGCTTAGAATCATACCAAACCAAGTATAACATAGGCATTAGATTCAATCTTAGTGAACAACACCATCTCAGCCAGAATTATTTAATCAATCAAGATACAAATGACAACTCAGAATTCTTCAACCCAAAACAGAGTATTATGTTCAACAATCAACCATGGCTCAATTTGCTCACAAGATATCAAATTTAAAAAAAAAAATAGAACATCAACAAATATGCTCAAAAACAGAGCATCAATGCACCAGCCATCCAAATCACAATTTGGAATCACAATCAAACCATCATATCAAACTAAACTTCAAATTCACCAGAATTTAATTGTTCAACAATTTAAAGCAAGTAAATTGTTCCAGAATTAAGCTATTACAAACAAATTGAACTTAAAATCCTAATTAAACTAATCAACAAAACAGAACAGGAATCAATCTTCATCTTCAGGTATGCCAAGGTGATTCTTGAGCAGCTTCACCTCATGATCAAGATCATCAAACCTGTCAAGAATACCAGAAAATAAAGATTCATGTCTTCGAGACATTTCCATCACCGCATCAAGTTTATTTAGCATGATTTTCTCAAAAGGTGAAAATGGTTTTGGCTCAGCTTCTGGTTCTCTGCCAGGTTCAGCCTCCACCTGTGGTGGCTGATCCTCATCATGCGACGGAACACCGTCCTCATCGGATGCCGGTTTAGGAGTCGGGGGTACATCTCCTTTAAACACCCATTTATCTTCCTGTTTAAGCATCCCCATATGATGCAAGGAAGATTTTTCTATCTTGTTTGAAGCATGTAAAACTATTTTTCTTTCCCCTGTCAAGTCCACACCTGCATTTTCAAAAATCTTTGACAATAACAGAGCGAAGTTTCTAAAAGTTCAAACTATTTATAAAAGTTTCAGACCCAGATAATCGATTATTTTAAAGAATAATCGATTATTTTGTTCTTCAGGTTTTCTGGAAACCAACCAAGAACAATATAATCGATTATTTTGCTGGATAATCGATTATTCCAGAGAGTTATTTATGGGATAATTGATTATTTGACAAAATAATCGATTATTGCAGCAAGGCATCCCATTTTGCCTATTGCTGGAATAATCGATTATATTTAACGATAATCGATTATTTTGAGTTAGTTCTCAAAACTTCGTTTTAAGTCTCAAAATAACTTTCTAATCTTCTTAACTCATCATCATACACTCTCTACTTAGTTTAGATAAAGATTTTGCTTATGCACAAAGCACACACAACAAATAAACTCATCCAAAACAATTTATATACTAATCCTTATTACATAGCATTTTCTTTGACATTATCTTTGACTTTGTTTTTGTGCTTCTAAGTTGTTGTTGTTTGTTGTTGCCCTTGACACACATTTTGTGATCATCAAAACTCCTTTCAGCTTCAAGCTCCTCCAAGCTCAACAATCTCCCCCTTTTTGATGATGACAACCAATCTAGGCTCCAACCATTTTTGCTTCTAATTTCAACATACCAAACCTGCAAAAACATACACACACAAGCACAATACCTGCAAAAACAACAACCATACACACAACAACAACCTTTCTCCCCCTTTGGCATTATCAAAAACAAACCAAGCTATGTTTTACAATATAAGCCATATGCACATTCCTCAAGTGCTTAGAATCATACCAAACCAAGTATAACATAGGCATTAGATTCAATCTTAGTGAAAAACACCATCTCAGCCAGAATTATTTAATCAATCAAGATACAAATGACAACTCAGAATTCTTCAACCCAAAACAGAGTATTATGTTCAACAATCAACCATGGCTCAATTTGCTCACAAGATATCAAATTTAAAAAAAAAAATAGAACATCAACAAATATGCTCAAAAACAGAGCATCAATGCACCAGCCATCCAACTTTCCTCGACATCTAACCTTGTGTCCATCCCCCACTTCCACCACGTAAGAAGGAGTGTCTTCTACTGATAACTGTAACCTCTCCACCAATTCTGTGGAAATAAAATTGTGAGAAGCTCCACAATCGATAAGAATAATGATTGACTGAGTTTGCAAATCTCCCCCTACTTTCCATGATTTAGCTGTCGTGAATCCAGTCATGGAGAAAAGGGATAATTGTAGTGACTTAAAACTTTCAGGCATAGTTAAGTCTTCTTCCTCCTCCTCGTTTTCCTCATCCTCACACATCACGATCATACGAAACTGTTTATTCTTGCAGCGATGCTCACGATGGTATGGTTCATCGCAACGGAAACATAACCCTTTCTCGTGTTTCTCTCTCATTTCTGCTCCTGTTAAGTATTTAAATTCTCTTCCCCTGTTACGAGACCCTTCTCCTGTCGTCTTGCCTCCAATACTGCCCATGGTATTCCCTGTTGAAGAATCCTCTATTTTCTTTCCAATTAAGGCTTTGGAATCAATCGTAACAACCTTACTTGAAGGGTTACTCCGAAAAAATCCATTCGATCTGGTGTAATTATTAATTGACTTCTTGCTCAACACTAAATTTTTTTGTTCTACCATGATGGCTTTCTGGATAACTGCTGAAAGGGTAGTGAGTTCATATAATCTCACTTCCACTTGAATTTCTTCTTTTAATCCATTCAAAAAAATTCCCTTCGCAAAATCTTGGTTAATTTCCCTCAAGGCCCCCACGTATTTCTCAAACTCCTCTACAAACTCCTCCACCGTCCCTGTTTGCTTGAGAGACAACAACAATTCAAAAGGATTTTGAATCATGGATGGTTGGAAGCGCCTGATAACTGCCAATTTGAATCCTTCCCAAGTAGGTGTTGGGTTGCATCTTTCCCACCACTGGAACCAACTCAAGGCTCTTCCCTCCAATGCAACCATGGTTGCTTGCATTCTTTCCTCGTCTGTGACACCTTTTAGGTTAAAGTAGCGCTCCAATTTCTGGGTCCAGCCAAAAGCATCTTCGCCCGCAAAAATTGGAATTTCCAATTTGCGCCACAGTTCGTTGCCCCTATCTCTGGAGTTGTTGTGATCCCCACTGGTTATGTGGTTGTCTGTTTCGCCTGGCTGCACTCCTAATTTGGCAGCAATTGCCATGAGGAGTTCCTCGTTTTTCTTGGTCCTGGCTTCATTCAGTTCCATTCTAGTCCTCATCTCTTCCCTCTCTTGAGCCCATTCTTCCATGCTTCGCTCCATCCCTCGTGTGGTTACCATGCGCAGCTTTTAGAATCGTGGGTTTTTCAGGGCACCAGATCGGTGCTCTGATACCAGTGATAGAACTGGTACCAACCGAATATGAAATTCAGATTTAATAAAAATAGAATGCCGGAACTTTATTAATCGTAATATTGCTTCTTGAGACGAATTACAACTGGACACCAATAGCCAGCTACCCCAAAACCTAATTCTTCCCAATTCCCTCCTCCAATAGAGGTACAATATCCTCTATTTAAAATAAATCTCATAACTGAAAATAGATAACTAATCAAAACAAACTATTAAAAGATAAACCTAAAAAATAGATAAATTATTTAAAATAGACAACCAATAATGATAAAACAGATAACTCAATTCTGTTCGGCTAACTATTATCATTATTTTCCCTTTTGTGGCGCCTCCTATATACCTTAGTAATAGGAGGTTTCGGTTGAAGTCTATCA